ATATATATTTCATAATAATTTATATAAAAGAGTTTAAATTAGACTCTTTCTATTTTTTTCGGTTCTATTGATGTTGCGTAACTTGTAAATGTATAAAGCAAAGATGTAAAATTATTCGAAATTTCCAAGAAAGAACCGACTAGGAATGTTTCGCTTACTCTCGATTATCATATATGGTGGCATAACGAAGAAAACATATTTAAAATGCAAACAAAATGCGTTTAGGTAATTTAAAAATTTTAACGATCCGAGATAATTGTTATCGGACTAATGTAACTGGGATAATTAGAAAATTACAAGAATTTATCATTTCCAAATATTCTAGAAAAACTGGCTGTTCTCTTTCAGAATTTTTTTTTATTTAAAAGAAACAAATTATTTTAAAACAACAAAAATAAAATACATACAATCACATTCTTATTGATCAGTCATTCCATAATAAAAATTTCGTAACAATGTTGAATGTAAACCGTTAAAACAACACACGCGATAATACCATTTAGTTAATTACAACCTTGAAAACACGAAAAAGATAAAAATAGGAAATAAGCTGGGACGTTTAGTGTATAAAATTTTAAATTCTACAGATGCAAAAATTTTGACACGTACGCAATTGAATGCATATATTCGTTTACAATTTCATTAAAAGGTTCACGCATTGATGACTCAAAACAACTGACGCATCAATTTAACGCGCTTCTTTAACAAGTTGTATTGCGAGAAGTGTCTAAAATGATTATTTGAATATACACGCAGGAGATTACATGCTTCAACAATTTTTTTATTATTGGAATGTTCGCGATATCGCTCTTAGATATCTTATATCTGTAACCTTGATAGCTCGGTTGAGTGTGAAAATCGTTCCGATCCGGATCAGTAGTGAGTAAAAAGCCGAGCGCGCAAGAGAGAGAAAGGTTCCCTTCGTCTCGTCGTGCATAAAATGTTCTCCGAATACGTGCCTTTCGTGACGAAATATTTTTACCATATATTAGTTACCGTTATATCGCTCGTTTTATTTAGTGAATTTTTCGGATGGCCGGACAAGAGAATCGCTCCAAGTGGGACACGCGCATTCACGGCATCTGATGAATCTACGGATCCGAGTGAAAGTAATGTCACAGCGAATACTTGTACATCATATGTAATCGTCGATAGTCATATAGTCATATTTGTCTCATTTTGGAAAATGAAAGTGGGATGAAAGTATTTTACACACTCTTGATGCCTTCGCTTAAAATCCTTAAAGCATATTTTATACAACATTTTTTAACATATTATAATAAAGAATAGAGAGAATAAAAATGGCGAATAACAGAAAGCAACATGATAATAAAATTAATAGTTACATGATAATTAAAATTGAAGTATGAGGATCCATTTTGTGTAAACGTAATTGCCGTAGTAAATTCCAGTGAGTTAATTAATAGATAAGACTTAATTTTACGATTGAAAGCTCCCATTGCGTCGGTCGTAATTAATTCGCATGGTTCTTATTCCCTTTTCGCGAGTTTATTAAAGGACTAAAATACGCATTGTATATGCCAAAAAATAATTATCGATAAAAACAGGTATATCATTTTTACTGCGTTATTTTTTTTTCCACTGATTCATATATACGCGAGTTATGTATTATATATTATATTATATATTATAATATTTACATAAATAATATATGATGCGAATTTTATATATATATATATATGATATATATATTCATTAACAATCGCGTAAAATATTGTCTTATAGAGACGGACGAAGAGTTGCTTGAAGAAGCCCAAGAAGAGCCTGCCTTACCAAAGGATCTCAAGCACATTCCATATCAGTATGTCCGGCTGCCCGAAAAGGAAACGCTGTCTCGGGCGTCAGAATTTTATCAAATAGCAGCCGCGAGACGTACCTTAAGATACTTCAGCGCAGATCCCGTTCCAAAGGAAGTTATCCGCGAAATTATAAGGGCCGCAGGTATTTATGTGAGCGATATCTGTCCCAAATAATATTTCTCTCGAAGTATAGTGTCAACATCGCATAATCGAAAAATATACTAAGCATTTCTTTCAAGATATATCGCGCAAAAATTGCAAGTAAAAAAAATTAAGTAATTTATAAGATTTTTAGAATAATTCTCTCCTTTTCTTTGAAAATAAAAAATTCGGATTAAAGTCTTGTTACACCATCGATTCATCGAAAATGAACGCTTGTGCTTAAATTTGCATCTCATTCTTTCCAAATCACACACTCACATACTCATGCTTAACTTAGGTACTGCCCCCAGCGGCGCGCACACAGAACCATGGAGCTTTGTCGTGATATCCAATCAAACTATGAAATCAAAAATCAGAAGTATCGTGGAACAAGAGGAGGAAATCAATTACAAGAAAAGGATGGGCGTGAAATGGACGACTGATTTGTCTCCGTTGAAGACTAATTGGGTAAAAGAATATCTCACCATCGCCCCGTATCTGATACTCGTGTTCAAACAGATCTACGGTATTTTGCCAAACGGAAAAAAGAAGGTCCATTATTATCATGAGATGAGCGTTTCTATCGCGTGCGGAATCCTCATTACTGCCATACAGGTAATTTGAATATTTTCTAGTTGCGAGAAATCAGAATGAATATCTTTTGTCTGGAAGATAGGACCCTTCTTATAAGATGATGAAAAAAATCTGTATTCTTATAATTATAAAAAAAAATATTAACATGAAATATTAAAAATATAAATTAATATATCAAGAAAAGTGTTGTGATTCCTTATCATTAAATATGTCTTAATTAACGTAATTTTGTGATATTCCGTATAAAGGGAATATCTTGCAAATGACAATTTCTTGTATAATAATCGTGAACGCTTCATTTAAAATATAATTGAATTAATCGTACATTGTTTCTAAATATAGTACGCCGGTTTGGTGACTCTTACATCTACACCATTAAATTGTGGACCGGCTATACGCAGTCTTCTTGGACGTCCATCGAACGAAAAGCTCGTGTTACTTCTGCCAATCGGCTATCCAGCCAAAGATGCCACTATACCTGATTTGCAACGAAAACCTCTATCCGAAATTTTAATTGAGATTGATTAATGAAAGTATTGAGAGGAGACAAATTCGTGAAACGCCCTATTACCTTAACATAATATTTAATACTAAATAATGGAGAGATATATTTTATCATATACTTTCTTATAATTTACATGGACAGATCGAAAGTAGGAGTATCTGAAATAAATAATCAAACATGCATTTATGTTAGCACTATTTTTATGAAAAAATGTTATATATTTTTCGGATTACTAACTTTTTTATATCTTACATAGAGCAATTATTAGCTACAATAGTAAAATGTAATATTTCTTGTCTCTTATAAAACATTGCCAATATTACAAAGTAATTGTAAAGTCCAAAAAAAAGAGCTAATCCCTGAAATGTAGCACCTGTTCGAGTCATGTCGTTTGTGTTATATAACTTCTCTCCTTCTCTCTCTCTCTCTCTCTCTTGCAGTTGAAATGTTTACAATGGCACGCAATAAGACTGTTCTAAACTTAATAATCAGTTTGTATAAACTAACGTTTATTCCAATTTGTATACATAATGTTAAAAATAAGTGCTATATAAGTTTGATCAGGTTTAATCGAGGAGAGAAAAACTTAAGGATGAGTCGGCAAAAAAATTTGAGTGATATATAACACTATTTATACAATTAGGCGGTCGTAAAATTGTCAAATTACGAAACAAAGTTTGACATTAAAAATACCAAATATCACCACAGTCACTTAAAATTAAGTACATTTAATATATAAAATATAAAAATACTGGGCTAAATGTGACGAAGAACATATAATCTTTCTGCGAGTGTGCTGCACGTCTGCGTATGATAGCTATGTCGCTACTAATAGCTATCTCATTAAGTGTAAAAGCTTTAGAGTATCATGATACATACAGAGAAACAGAGATAATATTTTATTTTTTATCACTATTCATGGAACAAATACTATCAATATCATGATTTTTCTAGAATAAGTTTTTTTCGTTTCCATGTGTATTTTTTTCTTTTTTTTTCTTTTCTATGAAACTTGGTTTCTACCAAATCTGTAGCGCGAGAAGCTATAAGAGTTAATGTGAAAACTCGAGATCGCCAGATTTATCGTTAAATTTAAGCAATTGTAAAAGTTCTGAATGCAAATCAAATATTTTAAATATATCATTGACTAAGAGTAGAATAGTCTATATAGAACTAGGAGAGTATTGTCCTATTTAACGATCTTCGACTAAATCTCTCTTATAGTTCGTTTGTTAGTAATATCGCTGTAAACGCGTGTATATATACATGTATATGTATGTATGTATGTATATATATATGTATGTATGTGTCAGTTCATAAAATGAGCAAAAAATACACTTTATTCGGTACGAATGTAAAATCTAAGATCATCGGTAAATCGAACTCCGTCTTTGTCTTTAAAATTAATAATCTCTCTGTTCGTTCCCTTTACAGAACTCTGTTGACAGTCGGTCATGAGTTGTATCTTTATACACTTATACTCTAAAAGCTATCTCAGTTAAATTATATAAATACGTGTTTCCTTACATCTTTATCTCGTCGAGATCACCAGTGCCTGAGATATCTAATATAGTTACGCTAAATGTATCCTTCATTAATTATTATTATTATTATCGTCATTATTATTAACATAATTTTACAGGAAGCTGATAAATCAATATAAATTTTGTAATAAATAGTAATCAATGAAGTCTTTCTTTCTTTTTCTTTTCTTTTTTTTTCTCAAAAAGTTTGCCGGTGTAAGCCGTATAATACTATACGAGTGAGCTCTCGCGAATACTCTCCTAATTCTCCTAATAAGACGACCAAGACGTTGTATGCCGCAACAATAGCAAGGATAGCTCCGTGACTTATATCTATCTGAGAGTGAACTTAATCACGGTGATGAAATTCAGCTATGCATAAGCGGCACGACCAGGAGCCCTCGGGAGGTGACGCAAGAGGTGGAGACAGACAATACATGTGGTATCCCCGATCACAGTCGTCACAGAACAGCAACTGATCCTATTTCAGTTCGCCAAACCGTTAATATAACAAATAATCCAAATAGAGCTCGCGTAAAACGCACACAATTAATTTTTCCGATATAATTGAATTTAATTTTTTTTTAACGAGTAAATTGTACGAATCATATTTGCATTAATACGAGAGGATTACGCAATTACGAGAATTTTAATAGCGTTATAAATTACGACTTTGTGTAATCCTTTTTAATCGATGAAAATACATTGTAAATTGAAATTAATATCGATTTTTATTCGCGCGCCTTTACTCACACGCCCACGGATGTAATAAAGGAGAAAAAAAAAATGTTTACGAATCCTGCAAAAGATTGCGGAAATAAATACTTACATCGTTGTCAGAAGTGCCGCAAATGGAGCAGCATTTGCATTCGATACATTGCCACCTGTACTTGCGAACAGAAACGATCATGTTTGCAGTGAATTGCAAACAAGTTGGATGCCCTACAACAAGAACGTACGCACGTCATGGAACACGCATTTTGGGATGGAACGAGGAGATCTGTTGTGGGATACGAGTAGAAAGGTGCCAGGACAGTTATCTTGTGCCGAAGAACAGTGAACTCCAAGCTATTATTTTTTTTTTTTTTCCATAAATTATTTAAACTTTTTTGATGCTTTTTTTTCGATCACATCACAATCGAATCTTTACACAAGAGAAGGAACATGATGCTGTTTGACAAATCTAATCCGCACACAAGTACGACTCTACTAGATGTCTTTCACCTTTCCTCAGCACTAAAAACGTCCGGAATAATGATACGTCCTCGTGTTTCCGCACAGAATATTTTATTTCATGATATCTGTAATTTTTTTTTTTTTTTTTTTGATGTTGCATTTTGAACATATTGTTATTATTTGGAATAATAGGTGGTAAGTAATAGCAGGGCGTACCTTGGAATAGTTCACGTTCTTTCTTGCGCAGCACAATATAAACGTCGCAGATGCACACTCTCCCTCGCTCCTTTTCTCTCTCTCTCTCTCTCACTCTTGCATTCTTTCTTTCTCTCTCTTTACCATACACACATACACGCAACTCATATAACGTATATCACATCCTTTTTATATATATCATACATATATGGAGCCATATATATATTTATATATAACTAGTGTGACTTAAATACTATATTTATAAGCCTCATTAAGGGTATTGCTTAATTAAAACTGCCTAATAACAAGTCTTCAATTTTATATATAACAAGGAGGAACTATATATCTGCATGCTTCCATTGTTTTTATACCATGTGAGTTTTTCTTACGACAATCTAAGGACAATATAATATCAATTTATATACAAGAAACTAAAACGTAAATATGTATATATAGTACCCTCTCTATTCTCTCTGCTGTATTTAGCTATATCATATTAAATGATAGAATATTCTACGTTGTATCTCATATGTTATATGTGTGTAAAGAAGCTGTAACATACCTTTGTCAATATAGCCTTCTATATACTCGAGTTACATAATATATGTTTATTAGAAAGTACTTCGTGAAAAAAAAATATGAAGCTCTATGATTAAAGAAGACGTTTGCTCGCCAATTGTATAGATTATTCCAAATATTTCAGGAATTTAAAATATAAAAAACAGCATATATACACAGATGTATATATCGTGTAAGAGAGGTAAAGAGTTATAACTAATATGTAGCGTATATAAATGTAAAATAAACTTGCATATATATATATATATATATATATATATGCAAGTGTGTGTATAAAATTGCGAAATATATATATATATATCTATAATCAGCAAAGTAAATAAAATAATTCGAGTTTAATCGAAAGCAGATTTAACGCCGCGCTTCTCCATGTGCCTGAAAAACTCATAAGGTATTACATTAATTTCATATACGGGATATTATTCTGTGATTATTCCTAATCAAACGATATCTGTACGAATATCAAAGCTCTTGTACAAAACTAAGCTATGTCAAATTTCTACAAGAAGGTATAAAAAAAAAAAAAAAAACTTCATTATACTCCGTAATTATAGCTTTATCTCATATTCTTTTTTTTTCTTGCTTGTTAAATAAGAGTGTAATAAATATATTGCGTTATTATAAATGATAGGGGAAACGATTATACTATATTAGATCGGAAAAGGTAATGCCCACACAACTAAAGGTAATTAAAAACGGCAGATATACAATGGAATGTGAGAGACGTATTAGAAGAGGGAATCAACGAGCCCGGAAACGCGCGCGATCGCGTTTTTTTTATCTTTACAACAAAATTCGATATATCGAACATTCTCTATTTTATTTCACATATAAAATTAAAACTCTCGTAAAAAAAAAAAAAAAAAAACGTTAGAGGTCTCCGCCTTAAAGTATTATCTCGCATACGTCTCACGCGAACCGTAACTTAATAATACGAAGACGTGAAACGAAGATCTCTTGAATAGAAACTTGTGGAAATTGCCTAAGGGAGAACAAGCTGTTACTCAAAATACAAAGCTTTACTGTTCAACGAAACATTTTTTGACGCATGCTGTATGAAACGCGTATATAATGAACGTCTCTCCCATTTTTATAAACGTATTCCACACTGGATGCGAATTACCCTTGACGCGATTATAAAAATAAACGTATTGAACACATAAAATCAAACGAATATATACCATAAATCAAAATTATCATAATAGATAAAACATTATTATCGATGTTTGTATCAATCTCATCCAGTCAATCTTTCTTATCGAAATTCTCTCAAAATCGCGAAAGAGATATACGGAGATCCTTAGGATTGCACTCTTCTATTTCATTCTTTTTTTCTGTGCTGCGCTCCTAGCTCACATATCATCTCTCTAAAAATCTCGTATGATATACTCAACAAACGCAAAGATACAAAAGTATTTACAGACGAATCGAAAAACATGTAGAGAGAAATATTGAAATATGACGCGATCAACATGTTATTATCTTACAATAAATATTGTGTGTTACCTTCGTTAAAACGATTCTTATGATTGTGCTGGATATATAAAGTATATATATATATATATATATATATTTATATATTGCATCTCGCGTGTATCTCTAAAAATCTTCTTAAACTTGCCGGTGCGTTTCTCACGCCGTGTATACTTCTTTTCTTTTCATTTTTTTTTTTTTTTACTTTTTTTGATTTCCAACACGCAATAACGTAAATATCAGGATACACTGTCAAACAGAAGACAAACACCTCTTCCTCAATACGTGCTCTAGTGGTACTGTGCAACAGGAATTTTAATAAATCTGCGTAAATTTCGTGCAAAAGCAAAAAGTCAATTCCGTCGATCGATTTATCTATTTAATCTATCCAATCACACACACGTACACACGATGAAATTTGACTTCTCTCACTGTGATGAAGACTTTTAAGACTCTTCCCGTGCTCTTTTTCCCTTTAATATTAAACGCGTTTAAACCTCCGATTTTTCTTTTTTATCTCCCTTAGAACTAATCACTGAAGATACTATAAATCACAGCAAATTCGCGCGTAGTAAAGGAATTCTGGAAAATTCCTATTACTCAGATGCGACAAGTTGCACCATTGACAAAACGATGTTTTGTGTTCCTCGCCTTGACTAGTGTATGTAAAGCTCGTAACCGTTTGATCTCTAAACACCGTGCAGATAATTAAATGGTTCTCTCTCTCTCTCTCTCTCTCTCCTTAATTATTGCACCCGGGGAGTTGCACATTTCAGCACGTTTCTATTACCCTTGACGGCAGTGACGAAAAAAGTGCGTCACGCGCGACAATTGTAACCCTATACAACTCAAAAAGTTATCTCCTCTCTTTTTTTTTTTATCTGTTTATCTTAACAACTTAAAGCGAAGATTTATAGAAAACATGGTCTGCACAAAACTGATAACAGATTTCATTTCTACGATATTTTTTTTTTTTTTAACGGCTACACGCGTACACGTGATGCGCATCAACGAAAAGAAAGGCAGAATCCTCAAATTATTACAAATGTAACAGATAATTCTAAACATCTCGATATTGCGCGTTTAACAATTATAGATACGTTTGGAATATACGAATAGGGAGGGGGAGGAAACAGCGATCCTCTCTTTGCGTAAGGAAGAGCACGTACGCTTGCTTGTGTCGTAAAATTAACAAGTTACTCAATATCTTTCACGATGTTAACAGCTGAAACATGGAAGTATAAACAATTATAGCGTGAACACGTATATATATATATACCCAATAACGCTATATGCCGATATCGGCGTATCAGATATTGCCGACATTAAACCATCTCGTATCGCTAAATCATCACTAAGTCACATATCCCGCGTTTCATAAATAAGCTGCTACTCACATCTCAGTCGCGCGGAAGCATACTCGAGGTATTGCGACGTGTATATACTGATCTCCTGATTTTGTTTTTGAGTTGTATCTGGCTATATATTCACAGGACGCAGTGCGCGATAGGCTCGCAAAGAGATGTAGAAAATAGTACCGTCCGTATAGACACGGAACGAATCTTACCGTCTCTCGATTCAGAATATATATGTATATTATCATCATCACCATCATTTATCCTCATCATCGTCATCGTCGTCGTCGTCGTCGTCGTCGTCTCTCGTCACCGTAGTCGTCGTCGTGCCCGATCGAGTTTAATTGTGATTCGCTCTCCTGGTATACTTGCGCTTGATCTTTTCCTCTGGCTTACCTGAGCGGCCACAGTCGCTGCACGACACCAACTCCTCGGATCCGCCCGTCTTCTTGTTCTCGCGCGCGTCACCCAGGCAGAAGTCGCAATACGGGGACGGTTGCGCCGCGGATGACTTGCCGCCGGCCTTCTTCTCCATGGTCGGTCCTCCTCCACCACCTCCTCCTCCTCCAGGGGTGGGTGACCCTCCCGTCGCAGTCTCCGCTGAGGAGAGCGACGGGACGGCGGTGCCGCCGGGCGAGGACGCGGCAGGTAGATGATCTTCCTTGGTCACCGAGACGGTGGGCGACGCTGGAGCGACGGGCGTCTGCGCGGATGCCGGCTGCAGCTGCTGTTGCGACTGTTGCGATGGTTGCGACGTCGCTCCCGTAGCGGATGCGACGGCTGGAGCCGCCGGGGAGGGACTCGAGGTACTCGAGGAAGTAGTGTTCTGACGACCCCGACGCGTACCACCTGATCACAAACCGATCAACATACCCACAGTTGCGCTTTGCCGTCATAAGCTGTTGGACCATGCACACTGGTTTTATATGATAGATACAATCAAGTCGTATTTTTTTACTCTTTTTCTCTCTCTTTCTCTCTTTTTGTGAACATCCGTTCGTAATCGATTCGGTTATATCAAAGTTATGGGCTAAAATAGAATTCGAAACGACTCGAATATCCAGAAAATTATCTAAAACTATGAAAATTAAACTCAAAATTAAAAGAGGCAAAGATAAAAATTGAAAAATTTGGAAAACAAGATTAGAGTTTAGAAAAAATTTACTATAATTTGCATTTTTTGTCTGTTTTAATAAGGTTTCAATTTTAATTCTAATTGTTATAAAGTTTTACGTCGAAAGAAATTGACTGTAAAAACAAGAATAATAATTATAATTGAAATACTCTGTATATATTATATTTATATATAATTTTATATAGATTGTAAAGCCCATTGCTCAAATTATCGCATTTTTTTCAGATAACAGAATCAATTATTCTAAACATTCATAAATATCTAACAAATTGTTACAACAAGGAAAAAACAAATCTGATTATATGTAAGTATAACAAAATGCACATGTCAATCATTCCATCACCAGCAGCAAAATCCAAAGATATAACGACGAGATATATCGATTCCAAATATAGAGACAGATACAAACAAACGATTTTTCAAACATATTGTAACTACAAATAACTTCAAAGATACCTATTTGAATCAACGAAGCCTTAACATTCATTAATAGGAGAATCGAAGCCAAAATCGCTCTAGGAGAAATACACAAGCGTCAAAACAGCAAAAAAAAAAAAAAGAAAAATCTTTGTTTGTTAGACTCATTCGTAAAAACTATAATCATGCTGAACAGGGAGATACTAATAAAAGGAGCTACAAATTACCAAAAAAAAGAACACGCACACACATACAAGACGCTCAAGAATAAAAACGCTGTAAACACATTAACGTTAAAGAAAAAAAATACACTAACTTAGATAATTCGATAAGATCTCATCCCTCTCGTTCTCTTAAAGTATATAGAAGAAAAAGAAATTAAATATATTCTATATTGCAGAAGCATGCTACTGCAAGAGATGCAACACAAATAATTATCGCTTTTTCATACATTAAGATATAAAGCATTCCCATTTGTTCTCACACAACAGGTAAAATACGAAAAAAAAAATGAAAGAAATACACAAATATATCTTTTTCATAATAAAATGCAAAATCAAATCACTTTTATCATACTGGCTTGAATATCATTTTATCCGTATGATATATGTATATAAATTGATTATGGTAATATATATATATATATATAAAATAAAACCGCGGATAGTTGACACACGATCGAATCGAACTTAATTTCCGCAGGCGCGCAAACAAACAGATATGATGCAGAATATCTTTTTATACAATTGATGAGAGACGAAAAAAGATTACCATATCTACACTTAAAAACATCTAGTTGTTATAAATCACCGTTTCATATTGCATTTTCGCATCTGTCGTACGGTTAGCCGAATTTATTTCAATGTATTGTTTTTTTGTGTTTTTATTTTATTTCTTCATTATTTATTGTACCTGTTTGCGATTCGCTATTGGAATTGGAATTTGTCGACCGGTGTATTTTCAGAGTAATGTTGAGAGCGAGATGAAATAATTTCGTGTACCGGGGACTATACGATTGGAATGTATTACATGATCGGTTCTATCTGTGCATCCATCCTCTATTCACGTTTCATCCGTCGCTTTGCCGTGCATCTTCAATGCGCTCCATTGATGCTAGATATCACGATTGCACTATTGATTCGCTTCATTTTCGCATCGCCTCTATACATGCTTTCCTCTTCCTCCAAATAATTATATTACTTTTCTTTTTTATTTTAAGATAAAATTGACATTTATAGTGGTTAAAATATTATCACGAAAAAATGTGATATTGATTTTTTTGATAGTTTAATTTTTTCAATCATTTTTTTGTTTGAAATTACAGATTCTTTTATCGTAAAATTAAATCTATTTTAAATAGATAAAGAGTCTTTAACAATATTTTCTGTAGGATATGCACTGTGATGTTATATTAATGCGAATTAAGAAGTAAAATAAAATGATTTGTTTATGTACAACGTCACATTCCGAGAGATATGGGATTCAACGGAATGATGTTTAATTAAACGTAACTTGGCAATTCGCAAGCTGCTCGACTCGTCGAACCAAGAATGGGAATAATGCAAGGTATGAATAGAGATTGGACCGAAGAAAGGAAATTCTCTCTCTCTCTTTCTCTTTCTCTCTCTCTCTCTATCTCTGCAGATTGTTAGATTATAAATTAAAACATTTGGGAATCAAAGAGATTACTATACCCAGGGAACGCCTTCCGTATAATATCTCTTACGTAATTTACTCTCCCATTACAGAGTTTGATTTAAAGAAATGATTAACATACAGGAATTTATTTAATCTCTTCATTTACGATCGAGCGAGAGCAATTATTTCGACTGTTTCAAGTATTTCCTGTCGGGATGCCGTTCCTCGACACTCCAAATTAGTAATTGCACTTCAACATTGCGTGTCACTCCGATGAGAATCATTCGTTTGCCGCCAGTATTATTTCATTTGTACAAGATCCAGATTTTTTTCTCGATTACACGTCAAATTTAGTATAATAGATGATCTGCGCGAGATTTATAATGCGTTTTCTCGACCGAATAATTTCACGATGGCACATCGCAAGTCAGTCGCCGACAGAATTGAGGATTTTAGATAGCACATGAAATCGGAGACGTGGAGCTTTCGGGTCGTCGGACATAGTCGGTATAATATACACCAGCTTCGAATCCTCGGCGGGGATGGTTGTTGCACAGGGAGAGGACTGAAACGGACGAGGAACGAACAGAAGCAGGCAGGTAGGTAGGTAGGTAGGTAGGTAGGTAGGTAGGTAGGTAGGTAGGTAGGTAGGTAGGTAGGTAGGTAGGTAGGTAGGTAGGTAGGTAGGTAGGTAGGTAGGTAGGTAGGTAGGTAGGTAGGTAGGTAGGTAGGTAGGTAGGTAGGTAGGTAGGTAGGTAGGTAGGTAGGTAGGTAGGTAGGTAGGTAGGTAGGTAGGTAGGTAGGTAGTTGTTATCACGGTTTCGCGGTAAATGAGAACTCTCAGACTGCGCACCACTAATGCCGCTACGGGAGTGCCGTACAACTTCGTAATAATCGAGCTCGTAGAGAAATTCTCTCATTTTTAGTCTCGCGCGCACTTTCCGATTCTACATGTCGCCAACGTCTCGCTCTTCTATCACATTGTATCGTAGGGTAAAAAGCGACTCGATCGAATTCGATCGTTCAATGACTTTATATGTTTGCTTGAAAGACTGTTTTTTTCTTGCAAAATATAATTGACAATAAAACTTATATTCTCTTAGCAATTAAAAAGTAATTCTCTAAAAATATTTCATTTGTTTTCCGATAAATAGATTTTTTAACTTCGTTTAGAGGCCCGCTTGATTTCCACCTCTAAAATGAATGAAAATTTAAATAAAATGCTTTTATCAATAAGTGCATTAGCTTGTGGATGACGAGTATTTTAATCGTCCCTTTTTGGCAATTCTCTTAATATCGATGGACGTCTCGTTAACGGTACATTCTTCTTCAAGCTTGACCCAGTTCCTTAATTTACCCGTTTGCCTTATTTCAACATTAGTTCGTGAATATTCTCGTCTTCGCGCCGTACTAAATCAGAAATTTTCTTACGTGCCATACAAACTTCCGGCGATATCGATTACATATTTGAGTCGATAATTTCTCGAGACAAAAGTAACCGGAATTCTATAAAATAAGCTTTTAAAATGTACATCCTTTTAAATAGACAGGAGCTCTTCCTCTCGCGCTCAGAAGTGCGTAAGCCGTCATATATAATACGTATAAAAAGATGAATAATAAGTATCCAGAAAGAATGATGTTTAAATGCAATTATTCGTTAATGATTATTATGGTAATAATTATTCGTGTTTCGCGCCAATAGCATGTCTGGCGCGGACATGAACCCGTAGTCAGTGGAGAAGTTAAGAGAGTTGGCGATGGATAGAAGGTTGGAGAAATAAGGGTGAAGGGATAACGAGAAGGCGAAAGATGGAAAGGACGAGGAGAACGAGAGTCGAATGAAAATAGTCGTTGAACGTGAAAGAAGTGCGTTTAATTAAACCGACGAACAAGTGCAGCCTCGGCATTAACGTCCGTCGTTCTTTCGCATTTTCTGCACCTGCAGCTGCTTTGTGTTTGCCGATCCACTGGCGGGAAATGCGCGATCGCTCCCGGCGAGATTTGGATTTTCATCTGATTATCGAAACACGCGATCGACAGAGTAACGTTTGCATACGGTTGTATAGCGCGCTTTTAAACGCTAAACATTTATTTTGAGAGCCATAATCAACGCAATCGTAAAATGAAAAACTTACTTAATATATTCTCTAACAATAAAATAAATTTATATAATAAATGTAAAAAAATAAAAAATGGATGATATATTAGATTTACATAAATAATACAATTTCTTTTCACATATAAATAATAATTTAAATTAGAGATATTTAACTTATATGTATGTATATATATCAGGTGATTGCATAAGTTCGTGCCCGATTTAAATATAAACTTCAATAGATTATATTTTAGAGATAACACTTTTATTAATCAATTATATAGTCTCCATTCTTTTCTACAATGGTTTTCCAACGATCTATAAGCTTGTCGATTCCATTTTTGAAGAAAGAACTTGATTTTTCTTGAAAAAAGTTTGTAAGGTGGTTTTCAACAGCTTCCTCGGAATTGAGATTCTTGCCATTTAAACTATTCTGCAAAGACCGGAACAGATAAAAATCTGAAGGCGCAATATCTGGAGAATATGGCGGGTGCTGCAGAATTTCCCATTGCAACTCCTGCAATTTTCGCAGCGTCTGTTGAGCGACGTGTAGCCTAGCATTGTCGTGGTGGAAGATGACGCCTTTTCGATTGGCCAAAATCGGACGTTTTTCTCGAATAGCTGCAGCGAGTCTAGTTAGTTGCTCACAGTACTTGTCCGCCGTGATTGTTTCGCCGCGTCGGAGCAGCTCAAAGTAAATAATTCCCTTGCGATCCCACCAAACACACAGCAACACCTTCATCGGATGCAAGCCAGCCTTTGCTTACGGGTTCTGCTCCTTCAGCTGCTGTTTTCCATGTCCTCTTTCGCTGTACGTTTTTGTAGAGAATCCACTTTTCATCGCCTGTTACCATTCGAT